CCCCCCCCCCCCCCCCCCCCCCCCCCGGCCGCCCCCCCCGTAACACCACCACTATCCGCATCCAGAATGTATCCCACAGCACGAGGCTTGTTGCGCAAGTGAAAACAAACACGCTTGCGAAGCTGCTGCAAGTGCGACCGTGCTGAAGCTGGTAGCGCTGCTGCTGCATGCAGTAGATGCATCGTCATCACTTGTTGCGTCTAGATGCGGGGTATGACGCGTACAGTTGACGACACGAATTTTTATGGCCAGCTAGTCTAATAGTAGCCTAGCGCGCGCAGGGGGGGATGGTCGCTGCTGGTGTGGTGTCGTACCTGTCCGTCGCTAAGGCTCTACAGTAGTGTGCAGTGTGGGTTGTTGAAGACTGATTTGTGGTGTACAGCAGTAATCTTCTGTCGTAACAAGGGTGATTTGAGATTTCATGTCAAGGCTGGACTTGTTTTTGGTCTGAACCTCTTTGCTCCGAGGCGAGCAACACCAAATAGATAGGTAGGGCTAACCCGACTGGTGTATTTGTACCCAGGGTCGTTCGCCGTTCCCCTTGTGAAACCATGGAGAGACACGTTATTGCTGTGTCTGCGAGTTTAGGGCTGTACAACCCGACAACATCACCATCGGTATACTCTCGCAAAGCGATTGGATGCAGGTGGTTCTGTGAGGGTTTGCGTTGAAACTTTCATTATCGCTCCGTAACCTTGGACAAGCGGTCAACCGCGGAAAAAAAGGCAAGTATCTATGGGTGTCCCTGACGGTAGGGCACCACCGCCGTGCCCGAGTGCCCAAGAATGAGTGTGAGCGACAAGCGCTGCAGACGAACGCGCTGGCAAATAGATTCGACTACGGACGGGCTCGTTGGAAAAGGAGAAACAAGCACCTGCTGCCCAGAACAGCATGTGGACGGCAACGTTTGTTTAGCCCATTCTTTTGTCTCCGGGGAAAGTGGAGTTTCCGAAATACGGGTTCGTGACAGTGTTGCTAGTCGAGATGTCATGTGAAGAACGAGTTTGAAAATGAGCAAGATGAGGGAGAGAGAGAAAGAGGTAGGTGTGCGCTGTTTCAGCCACACATTTTTTCTGGTGAATGCCTCACAACCAGCTTGGTCGGTCGGGTGGCTGGGATGGGCGGAGCGTGGTGCTTTGACGTCGCACTCGCCAACATGACAAATCAGTCCCCATCGCTCCGGCTCTCCATGGCTCTCTCTCCCTCTCACAGGAAAAAAAAAAGCTCATAAACAAGCCCTGTGGAGTAGGGCGTCCGTGCACGCGACACAGGTCAAAACACGTGAAGAAAACTAATTGATCGCGGGGCAGACATCTCCACCCACGAAACCAACCATAGACAGACGCATAGCAGAACAAAATTTTCGACTGCGGACTCGCATGGTTCAAATTCTGTGTAGATGGAACACATCACAGAGACGCGAGCTTAACCCTCTAACAACATTGATTGGTGTGGCGTTGCTCGATCGCTAACAGAACGTTTGATTGTACGGTCGTTTTCGAAGCATCATGTCTGTTTCCACTTGCACGCAACACTACTTCCAGTCCATGCAGACAAACACACCTGCCCACGTCCGCCTCCGGTGACTACTGA